CACGAGCCCAAAATTATGCCATTTTTGTCTCGTGCTTTCTAAATTTCCAGTGTTTGCAGCATGGCCTTGTTCAGTGCCTTGTTCAGTGCACACCTGGAGCACAGCTTTCTGCAGAACTTTCTTCTTCAGACTTAATCATGACTGAATGCATGAGTTTTAGGTAATTTCATTTGAGGTAATTTCATTTAGGTAATTTTAGGAGTATTATCTTTGTTCATGTAATATTGTCAGACTTTCCAGTTCCAAACCCATGAACTGAGGTCCTGAAAAAATCATTCCATGATCCTCACAAAAGTGCAATTTTATTGCCTCCCTGTTCACAGCTGTATTACAGCATCACCTTATTAGGCTTTTCTTGACAACTTTTTAGGATCAGATGGCAATAAAAGTTGAGAACTTTGTGAAAAGGCAAGAGGGAATGAGGATTTTTCTAAGGAAACCAGAATTATGGGTTGTGTGGTGAAATTTTAAATATTAACACAGTGGCTCAGCTTGTTCTCATTTGGGAGGATTCTTCACAGCATAAAACTTACATTAAATTGCTGTTTTAACAGCAGATACATTGAATTTTGAAGAGTGGATCTGGCAAGACTTTTTCACATCTGTCTTATTTTCCAATGTCTTTTCAGCAGGTGAACAGTAATTTTCTATCCTTGCTGCATGGCCTGTGATAAGCAGGGAGTTAACAGCACATAAAAATATATCCAGACCTGTCCAATTTCTAAACAGAGCCTTGAATATGGAGATATTTTGTGATTCTGAAATGTTTAGTGAAGTACCTGTCCCCTTTCAGGGAGGGGAGTGCTTAAATCCAGGAACTTGTTTTGGGGGTAAGTTACCAAGAAATCTTATTTAGTGTAAATAATCCAGGAACTTGTTTTGGGGTAAGTTACCAAGAAATCTTATTTAGTGTAAATAATCCAGGAACTTGTTTTGGGGTAAATTACCCAGAAATCTTTAGTGTAAATAATCCAGCTGGTAGCATTCACTCCATGTTTTATTTTTCCTGGAAAGTAAACAGCACTGGTTCAAGCTCTGCAGATGCAACCTGCTTTGAAAAGGAGGGAAAAAAAAAAAAAACAAACCAAATGTAAATACTGGTAAAAAAGTTTGAAATTGATGTGACAGAAATAAAACAAGAGCCAATTTTGCATTAGTAGTCAGTCTCTTCGGGTTAGGAGCTTGTTTTTTGCGTTTTTGCTTAAGCAGATATTAACTTTTCTGCTATAAAGCAATCCTGGAGCCAGATTCTCTCTCTGAATGTCTTTGTACCCAGCAATTGAGAGGACTTTGTGCAGAATGCTGTTAAAAAGAATATAACACCAAGGCTGCACATCTGTTTCTCATTTTAAAGCAACTCTTTTTACTCCAAGCCTGTATTTTTTTCCTTCTGCCATGAGATTTGGGGTTTTTTTAACTTCAGTAAACAGGCCAGAAGAAAAAGATTGCTCATGAAATGGGTTCCTGGGTATCATTTACTCAGAAAGCCTTGGCAATCCATGGATTTGGTCCTGTTGGGATGGTGTGCATCCACAGCTTGATTTGTTCTATTAAAATGCCATTGTGTAAAAAAAAAACAAAAAAAAACCAGTTCTGGAGCTCTGGCTCTGTGAAGTAGAGGCTGAAATCAAGGTTGTGGCATCAGCATGTCAGGAGAGGGTGGTGGGAAAATGTGGGTTCTCCTGGCAGTGTTTGTAGCAGCCACAAAATCCAGAAGGAATTGGTGATTTCCAGCTCTCCTAAGCTCTGAAAAGTGACCTGCAGGTGAGGAAAAGATAAAGAGTTCCTTAAGAAATCCTTCCTGTTCCAGCTTGCCAGGCTGGGTGCAAGAATTTTGCATTTCTGTTTCTTTGCTGTGCTTTTATATTTTTTTTTCCTGCCTGGAAAATGAATTGCTGCATAGTGACACATCACTGAAGGATTGGGTTTATTCCCTGGAAAAGTTCAGGTGGGATTTTGTACATCTGTGGTCAGACAGTGACTGGTCAGAGATCAAGAATCACACGAATTGTAGCATCTCTCAAGTATTTTTCTCCTGTAGAGCTGTTCCTTGGGAGGATCTCAGTGGGACCAGGGATGAGAATTGTTCAGAAATGCAAAAGTAAATTAATGCCAGCCTTGGGCCTTTGGGCTCTGCTGGACATGATTAAATAGGAGAAAATTTCCTTTCCATGCAACAACAAATTGGTCACTTATTAAATCTGGAAACATTTTTTAGAATTATTTTGTGTGTCTATTTGTTGTTCAGACTGGTTTTATTCCTGTGTGATTACTCCCTGTGTGGTCTCCTGGCACAGCAATCTGAGATTATTTTGCCTCATTCTTTTTCCTTTCTCAGTGGCTGCTGAACAAATCTGTGCCCTGTTCCATTTATCAGAGAAAAGCTTCTACTGAATTTGGGGAGGAAAGGTCAGATGTGGGCAGCTTCATGGAATTCCTCCTTTTTGTGGCACTGGGAAGTTTTCATCATCTCAGTTGGGAAATAAAGTCCCTGAGGGTGAAGTAAAGTCCCTGAGGGTGACAAAATGTTCTCCCAGTCACTGCCAATATTAAAAGGATTTTGTTATAGTGGATATCTTCTTCAGTGGTACCTGCTCAGGGGCAAATGTGCTGCTGCAGGTGTTTTTTTGCCTCTCTGATATAACATTTATTAGCTCATGTGCCTGGAATTCTGGATTTAAAACTACTTAACAAATACTTCCATTCAGCAGGCTGTCCTCTTTGTAAAAAGCAAGTCATTATAATCAGCAAGTACACTTTTTAATACAGCTTTTCAGGCTTCTGTGCTTGCTGCTAGGGGGAAAAAAAATGTTCTTTATTGTTGTGCTTTAGGTTTTTAAGATCTTGTGTGTATGGTCAGATTTGTCACCCAAATCTGAATTTGCCATTGTGGCCCCATGGAAGGTCCTCTGCCACACAGGGAGGTAAAAAAGATATTGTTGTCTCTCCATAGCGATAGATTTAGTCATGTTAATGTGTACCAGTACAAAAAAAATCTAAAAATAATGTACCTTCAACTCCTGGATCTGTGACCTTATTAATATTTTGTTAATTTTAGTAATATCTATATTAATTTTAATAATTCTGACTATATTTTAAATAATAATTTATATTTATATTATTATGGTTTGTATATATTAATTTTTACATTTATGTATTAATTTTAATTTGTAATTTATTTATATTTATGAAAATATTAATTTTTCATTTTTATTTATAGTAATACTTTAAAAGGCACTTAATGAGAGACTTCTTGGCATTTTCCACACTGATGGCAGCACAGAGGGCCCTTGGATTTAAGGAGAGCTGTGCCAGGTGCTCCGTGCCCAGGCAGTGCTGGCCACTTTGGGTGCCAGGGTGAGCTCAGGAATTCCTGGCAGGGGCTGGCAAGGTCTGCCCATCCCTGAGATAAACCAGGGCAGCTCTCTCTCAGCACCCTGGCCCTCTGGATTCCTGCACTGACTGAGGGAGCAGCACCTGGAAATTCTCACTCCAGGCTCAAATCCCAGTTTTTGGGAGCCATGATCAAAGCAGAGTTTGCTGAATAACAAACCCAGCCAGGTTTAAGGGCTGCTTGATGGATGAGCTGTATATAGAAAGGTTGCTCTCAATTCCCTGCTCTGCTCATAATATTTGCACAGCCCGAGGTGGTTTACATCTTTTAATAAGTTTTGCCCTTGGGAAGAGACCAAAATATCTCAGTGTTGTTGTCCCTGCGTTTCTCTGAGGTGCTGTAATAATTTAAAATAAGGCTGAGGTTCGCTGTGCCAGGCTGGGGATGGTTTCAGTGGGCCATGAACTCTGATCTGTCCTGCAGCACCAAAAATCTGGGTTGTGGTTCCTCCAAAAACCTTGGGAGGAAAAAAAGGGGAAAAAAAAAACCCTGCCCGGGTCAGGAATTCCCAAAGGCAGGGCTGTGAACACTCCAGGGTTAGAAACTGGGACTGCTGCACTTGGGTTGTTGTAGTGGGATTTTGAAGCCCAGAATTGTGTAAATCCACAGTGCAATCCCACCATATTTAGTGGATAATATTGAAAGGACACATCTCCAAAGAAATGTGTTGAACTGAAGTTATTCAGTTCATTGCATTGTGAATGTTCGTGTTATTTCATTTATCTCAGGAATAAAAGAACTCAAGAAAAATACAAAGTCATGCTCACAATAATTTTTTAATCCATTTTTCTTATTTAATTCATGATTATGTTTATCAGTCATTGTACATATGCAAACCCCTATGGCAAAATAAATCCTTAAAGTATGAAGAACAATTTCTCTAGATTCAGTTAGAGAACGTGAAGTGCTGATTTTGTTTATTTTAGAAGAATAAGTGTGGTTAGGAAGGCGCCAAATGTTTGGTAATCACCTTTTATATACCTGTCTTCCTTTTCATAGTTGTGTTTCAGTTGTTTCTGTTTGAGTTTTTTGATACCTAATTATGCAGTAGATAGTTTTGCATGAAGAGCTGAGTGAGGATCCCAGTCTATTTTTATTAGTAAACATAGAATCCTGTCAGCTAAACATAAATACAGATTTTAATGTGCCTGAATTCCTGTAGAGTCAGTGTAAAAGCTCACAGGATGTGTTTTGCTGAAGATGTTGTCGGGCTGGGCAAATTCCCACAGTTTTATCAATGAAATGGGCATTTGAGACCATTAGGAATAGTTAAACTAGGGAGGAGTGAGGTTGCTGAGCATAGTTTAGTTGTGATTTGATGAATTCTGATAGGAGTATTTCTATTCCTGTGAAAATCCTGCCTCTTCTGGATCCTGGTGATCCTTCCCTGTCACATTCTGCTCCTTTCTAATTAAATATCTGTGGCTTTGAGCTCCCTGCATAAATCCTGCTCTGCTCCTTGAGGTTCTGCAGGAAAAGCTGCTTAGAATGAATCAAGCTCAGCTGCTTCATCTGAGAGCAGGGGATGGAATGATCAGAACTTGGAACAAAAATAAGGAAACAATGGATCCTGGGATTGCTCAGGCACAAGCTCCTTCCATTTCCTGCCTGCTTGCTGTTATAAAGCCTGTAGGATTGGGTCGTGTTGGATATTTAACTTCTCTTCCCTCGATCTGCATCTCACTGGCTTGAAATCAGCCTGGCAGCTACTTCCCTAAAGCTGGAATGAAATTCTTCATGGCCAGGGCTCGAGAGGAGCAGAAACCAAGCTGTAAGATTGCCCAAATAAAAAATAAACTGGGAAAATTAAAGCAGAAAAATAGAGAAAAGTACAAGAGCCTCAGAGCCACGAATCTCTGGAGGCTGGGGGGATGTTGGGCTTGGACACCTACTCGGGGAATTTGTTCAGGCTGTCCCAGCATGGTTCTTCCCCTGCACTGATAGACTGGAACAGGCTTTTACTGTGTTTTGTGGCACTCAAATGCTCCTTTCATGGCTGTGCAGCCGAGTTTTCCTTCTTGACCTATCATCTGGCTTGTGTTATAAGCTTAAAAATGTATTTAAAGCAGGAAATCTTAAACCCCACTGTTCTTCCCTCTTGCTTCCACCTTTCTTCACTGTAGAAATTGAGTTGGGGAAAATGATTGTTCTGTTCTTGTTCTGTTCTCTGTCATTTTTACCCATTTGTGGTATCCAGTCATTTTCTGAGTGTTCAGATTCTGCTTTTATTTTGTGAGCCAAATATGAGAATGAATCAGATTATGGGTATTGTATTTGAAATACTTCTCTGTTTGTTTATTTGGCAGGTCCTTGAGCAGTATGAACGAGAAGGGTTTAATTTCCTAGCTAAGGTTTTTAATTCTTCACATTCCTTCTTGGAAGATTTGACAGGTCTGACTTTATTACACCAGGAGACACAGGCTGCTGAGGTAAGCAAATAAAATTTTACTGTTAATCATGTGATCAAATGATAGAATTAAGCAGTGGTATTTCATTTACAGAATGATTGACACAATGATTTAGGCATTCTCTTAAATTAATTGTAACTTTCTGTATCTGAGTCTTTAAAAATTACTTTTAAAGGAAGCAGGTGACTTGGGTTATGTGGTGTGGGGAAATAAATTGCAATTTTATGGGAATTAAAATGTAATTACCCTGCTTGGTGGATTCTAATATGGGGGGGCAATGCTGTTTACCTGCCTAGTGACAAAAAATGGAATTTGGGCAGAAACTTGAGGGTGTGGTTGATGTCATGGACAGCAGCACAGGTGATAATGATAACTCAGTACTGAGTTGTAATGCTGTGTTCCATAAAAAATGAAACAGGAGTCTTCTAATATTGTATTTAACAGTGATTTGTATTCCTTCCTCGCCCTGCCAATATCTCTACCCTTGTGCATCATCATTGAATTTTGGCACAGCTGTATCCCAGGGATGCTTCTGAGGCAGTGGTTTTGCAGTCCCTGCAGCCTGTGCAAGTGCTGGGGCTGTTTTTTCAGCTGGAAAAGGCTCCACAGTGTTTCTTAATAAAGTTTTGGGTGGATAACGATGATTTTGCTCTCTGTCTCATGTTTAACCTTTGAAAAATAATTGTAGCAGATGCTAGAAACATGAACTGTGAAATGCCTAACGCATTCTGAAGTCAGCATGGTCATACCTAGAAAAAATTTAAATATATATATATATGAGAGGGATCCCAGAAGGGAAAACAAACACCCTTTAACACGTGCTACTCATTAACAGCAGCAATAATTAAAGTCTGATTGCCAGGCCTGACTTGCAGTGTCTAGGTTGCTAACGTAAAATGTAAAAACAATTAAAATTAGTAATGTATTATTTAGCAGGTATTAATCCATAAATCCCTTTTGCAGCTTCAGAATAGGTGTTTATTAGTGAGGTTTTAGATATTCTCTACAAAATACAGAGTCTGGTGGAGTTTACTTACTGAAGTTCAAAGTTTTGCTTAAAACCCAGAATTTGTGTCCTTTCAAAAATCCTGGGGTACTTCCGTGTGGTTTATGCAGTGAAATCACTGCTCAGAGGTGGAAAATCTGACATACAAAGTATTTGCAGAGCTCATGCTTTAAAATTAGGTTAATTGCCATAAAACCAGGGAGCTGGCTTGATTCTTCCCTGTCCGATTGCTGCATTTTTGGGAAAATCCATCTCTTTCAGCAGTTAACCAGTTGAGAAGTCTTGGTGAATCTGTGTTTCTGAATGGCAAGGGCTGACAGGCAGATTATTTGTGGAGATTCTGGAGCACCCCTGCTTGCTTTGGATTAAAAACCAGATCTTTGTTACATTTTGCCACTGAAAAACATTACATTTTGGCTCTGAAAGACAGAGGTTGTTCTGTGCCCCTCCACAAATCTCTCAGTTCATCATCTGGGGCAATTCTTACATTTTTTAGGTGCACAAGAGAGTGCTTTTAATATATTTTCTGCAGAATGATTCTCCTTTAATATCTTTTCTGCAAAATTACTCTCCTGTCTTGAGCCCCTTTTCTCTTGTATTTCGAGCTCCTTTTTCCCACACTTCAGCTGGGCACTGGGAGCTCTGCAGAATAATTTTTTTGGGTTTCTGGCTGCTTTGGAGCTGCTCTTGGCAGAATGTGTTCCCTAAAATGGAGCCATTGGATTTGCTGAGGTTGGTGCTCCTTTGATTTGAGATATTCTCAATACACTCTAAAGGCTGCAGCAAAAGCACTGAGAGATTTCACCAGGTGTGGATGGTCTGGTTTGAGATGGGAATGTTTCATTTTTCTGGTGAAAAATTATCTGCTTTTCACCACTCAAACTCTTCAGAGAGATTTTGTGGATTATTGATGCATTTGGAGACCATATAATGGCTTCTGGTAACTGCAGATTTTCCTTTCCTCCTGTCTAGTAAAATCTATCCAGTGCTAGTCCAGACCTATAAAGAAAATAGACTTGTAAAGTTAGATGTCATCCAACCTTCTATTTACCCAGTAACATCATAATTGGGTTGTAATTCCATATATAAATCCCCGCTATTTCACTAATAAACCTGCATCTGATAGGGGAACTACTCAGTCTTGTGCTTATTTTTAAAAGGTTCTCTGTTAAAATGTGCATTCATTCAGAGCATTTCACTGAACATTTTGCCAAGAGTGTTTTGTTGTGGTCAGAAAAAGTGTTGTGCTGCTCTTACATTTCAAATTTTTTTTATATTTTTTATTTTTATTTCACCTAAATGCTTTGTTGCTTTCATGATGTGTGTGTAAAAGTGCTTTAATGAGAAAATCTTTCTAAGTTTTGAGTTTGCTTATAAAAGAATCTGGATAAGCAATGTTCTGTAGGGAGTGACTGTTAAATACAACATTTTTGGATAATCTGAATTTCCATGAAAGCTCCCCCACATTATTAGCACCAAGTGTGTTTGCCCACATTTAAGGAACACAATTTGCAGTGAGATATGGGAGACCTTTCACTTAGTGAAAATCTTTCTTTACTTGCACTGTTTAATTCCTATTCCAGGGCTGTGCTGTTGACCATAATATGTTTACATTTTATACATATAAATACATTTTACATATAAATACAATAATGCATTTAAATATGTTTAAAGTTTGAATACATTTAAAACTGAATTAACTTAAACATTTAATACATTTTAGCAAAATATGTTTAAACTTTTAATACATTTGAATAGGTTTAAAGTTGACACAAATTGCAGGATTTTTAGTCAACAGAACACCTATTTCTTAAATCATAAATATTCTCCACAACTTCCTTCGTGTGACAATTAATAAATAACAACACCAGCGAGCTTTCCTGTCCTGTCTTGAACTGACAGTGCACTTCAGGCATCTGCTCCTTCCACATCTGGCTTTAATTTAGGTTCTGTGGAACATTTTGGGGTTTTTTTCCCCCAGTTTGATATTTTTGTGCAGCATGGGCAGCAGGCTGTGAGGAGCTCCCATGCAGCACTCTGGATGCAGTTCATTCTGGGGAGCTGCCCCAGCTGATGGAAACTCAGAATTTCTGATTTCCACACCCCTCGGGCTCCTCTCTGCAAAGCTCAGGTGTTAAACTTGACCCTTGCTCGCCCTGCAGTCAAGTTTAATGGCTGGGCTTAAACTAGAGGCAGCCTGAGCATCCTTGGGTTGTTAATCAGGGCTGGAGGTGTGGAGTTGGAGGCAGAAAAGTGAATAATTTCCAGGGCACAGCTTGGCTGGGCTGCCCAGGACTGTTCCATAGCAATGCATCCCTAAGCCCAGCTGCTTTGTTCCACATTAACCCTGCAAAGGGTTCCTCTGTACAGATGTAAAGATGCTTTTCCTCTAAAATTTCTAATTCAAGCTGAAGTTTTCTCCTCCTGCATAACAGCTTTGCTGATATGCTCAACTCGCTTCTCTCTGTAATTCTCCTTTCTCTCTGGAATAAGACACAAGTGTAAGTATACTTTTCTTACTTTGCATTTCAATTCCTGAATTACTTGGATGCTTTACTGCACTTCCTGCTTTCATCAGGATGAAAGAAGATTACAAAATACACACCAGAAATGCAATTTTCACTTGGTTCTCTGATTCAAAAACAAGAAGGGATAGAAGTTGCAATCCGAGAGATTGCAACATAAAGAGCTTTGGAACAAAAAATCAAATCTGTAGCAGAGTTCCTATATTTGAATGTGAATTTAAAGCTCAGGTATGGTGCCAGCAGGTCATTATGTCTGTGTTATTTTACTTTAGTAATGTTGTATTTCAAGTTTCTGTCTCTCACAAAAAGTGAGGTATCTGTAGTTTCTGTGGCAAGTTCTTGTAGCCAGTGAATGAGACCTGTTTGTCATTTCCAAAATACCTTTTCTGTGCTGGTTTACTGTATCCCAAACAATCCTAATTAATGGTAAAAAAAAAAAATTTCATGCTAGTAAAATGCTCAGAGAAAATACAGACAGCCCAATTTTATGATTTCTGCACTTATTTGAGGTTTGTGACCATTTTTTGACCATTTTTCAGTCATTTCTCGAGGAACAATGCTTAGCTGTAGAATAAGCAGCTGGTATTAAAAAGGAACTTTGCGCTTGTCCTAATTTGGAAGAAAATTCAGAATTTCCAGTGTGCTTTTCTATTAAAAATATCCTGCTTGTTTCTGATTCTGCATTATATTATGCAGTGTATTTGATGATGAAACAATAACATATGAAGAGCCAAAAAAATAAAAAGCCCAAACAGAAAAATCCAGCTACAACAATATTGTAACAGTAAATTCTGTAACTTGGCAATTCTTCTCTGTTAGCCAAGTATTATTCGGAATTTAATTTTATTTGATGTTATGAAAACTTCCTAAAGAAATCATTACTGATGGGTAGCCCAAAATTAATATTTGAGACTTTTCTGTGACTGTGAGCTTTTTTGTTTTCCTTCATGTGTTTAATCTGGTGCATTTCTGGAGAAATTAACTTTGACAGATTCAGGCCTGCCCTGGAATTTCTTTCTTAAGAGATTAAGAGATTAATTTGTTTTCTTTCAGAGGTGGGTTATTCTTTTCTTCTTGAGTTTTCTCGTGATGTCAATTAGTGTCATCATTTTTCTTCATTTATCAAGTAATGTCTCCTGGCTCTTTGAACAATGGTAATTTTTTTTTTTTCTGCTGATGCCTTTTGCTGCTTTTGGAAGGGTTTGGAAATACCTGTAAAGTGGTGCCTCTGTTTGCTACCAAAACATGAGCTCCTTGCCTTTCCCTTGATGCCTTCAATGATAATTTCAATTATTATCATTAATTATATTCAAATTACCTTCCTGGGACTCACGTCAGAAAGTGATGTGCACAAATACTCCTGTTTCATGAGATATCTAAATAAATGTGTGTTTGTCCCTTCAGGGCAGGGAGGGGCTTGTGCACACATTTATTTTTGTTTGAGGGAAGGACAGTTGGTAGGTATCCAGTTATCATTTTTGTTTGAAATATCAAATATATGGGAAAAAAAACCCACTGAAAGAAATGGAATAATGGCATTTGTGTTAGCAACAGGTTTTGTTGCTGTATATTCTTTTTTTCATAGGGTTATTTTTTGATGTCTCTTCATGAGGTCAGGCACAACTAATTTACAATTAAGGGTTATTTTTTCTTTTTTTTAACTAAATTGCTGTCTTAATGTCAAAACATTGATAGAGTTAAAATCTCTATGTAAAATTTTACGGTCAGTCTCCTGTAAGTATAAAATGGAAAGTGCTAATAGGAATAAATCTATTATCTCATCACTTTTTATGTGAGGGGAAGAGACTTCAAGAAGAACCTGGACAAAACCTGCAGCAGCATTAATGTGCATTCTTCTTCATGAAGCTTCTGCAGACAATAATTGCTGGCTGCTTTTCCTTTTGGTCAGCTGAATTGATCAGTGCAGGTGATCAATATCAGCCCTTCTCTCCCACGGGGGCTCTGGGCTTTCCTCTTTCCATGAGAATCCACCTCCAGCTGCAGAGGTGCACTGCTCTTCTTCATGGCTCATTTTAATTGCCTCCTAAACAAGGAGTACTGGGGCTGATGAAGTAATGTTCTGATTTGTGCTCTGGTGGTAAATGATGTTAAATTGTACTTTATTGAAGATTTTAGAGTAATTTTAGCTAATGATGAGCACAGCACTCCAAAAATTTGAAGGGAACTGCTAGACTGAAGCCATAAAATCTTCATTTTGGAGAAGCACTTCTCTTCTAGAAAGAGTTTCAAAGTCTCTCGACTCCTCTTCCTTTGAAGGAAAAATCTCCAGTAAAGCAGAAGTAGTATAATTCAGGGATTAAATCTCTTCCATTCCAATATACTTTGTCACAAAGAAGAATGAATAGACTGTCCAAGATGCTTTCTGTTATTCTCATGTGAAGAATAAGAAATTACACAACACAGACAAACACGCTGATGAACTTTTTTAATTCTAATTAAGACCATAAATTCTACAATGTGCATCTCAGTCCAAGAGCGTATGAGTGCTTGTTCAAATAAAATACAATTTTAAAAAAGAGGAAAGTTTGCTGCTAGCCAAATCGGTGCCAGATCTCAGTGAAGACCAGCTGTTGTAGCCTCACCCAGAGGTGCTGTGCATGTCTTGGGGCAGGGCTGCCTCAGCACCCCCTCAAGTGTTAATGAAGTGACTTCATTAGGGATCAATGTGCTCTGCTCATCCTGCAGCCTGTGAAATGTTGTCCACCAGAGTATTTTCATTATTAACTGTGTTTGCCTCCTCCTGACAGTCCAGATTTCCTCTGGAAACATCTCCTGGACTCCTCTGGAGGCATTTCTGTCAGGGTGAGCCCATGCAGGCAATTATCACATCCCACAAGTGCATTGGTGCCTGTTATTGCCACCAGCTGTTTCACACCCCAAAACCTCTCTGCACAGGCAGCACTGGCTTATTTTCAACTTTGGGACTGATTTTCCTGTAAATATAGGTGGGGTATAGGAGATATATAGGAATATAGAAAATGGTAATAAATAAAGTCAATTGAAATATGAAGAGCTGCTGGAAAATCCTGTGGGTTTAGCACAGCCTCTCTTCAATGCCAGCAGTTGCTAAGTCACAGAGGAAATTAAGCACCACAAATTTTAAGAACAGAACATCAATTTTATGCTCCTATTTGGAAATCTCATATGGAAAACTGTTTGTGAACAACTTCTCAGCTGAAATTTTCACCATGGCTCAGGGTTTCTTCCTTTGTGAACCATGAAATAATTTTGCCAGAATGAGTGTTTCAAGATTTGCATCCATGTTGCTACTGAGTTTGGGTTGACACTAATTTATAAAACAGGCAGATTTGAGAGCCTTTAAAATTAATATTAACCTAGCTGTTACTGGCCTGGGCTCTCTTTCTATTTGAATATTGTCCTGGTGTTTGCACTTTAATGAACATCTCTGCAAAGTGCTGGTGTTTCCTTTCCCTCAGCCTAGTTCAGGTTCTCCTGAAGTTTCCTTTTTCCAGCACTTTTTTGGAGCACATTAGAACCTGGCTTCCAGCTGAAATCTGCCATGCAGTATAGTTGTTTTTATGGAATTGGCTGGAGTCCTGGAGAAACCACCTAATATCTTAGGAGTGATAAAAATTAATGACCAATTCTGTAGTTAAAACCCAGCTTTGATTCCAAGATGAGCCACTGTGCTTGAGACGATAAGGATTGGTTCTCTCTTATCTCTTCAGTGATAATTTTTCCTTAGCAGTGACTTCTCTTAGTTAATTTAAGGTCAAAATAGTTGGAAAGTTAAATCTTGTAAATTGTAAATTAAAGTTGTGCCTGACCTCATGAAGAGACATCAAAAAAGTCTGCGTTGTTATACATGTAATAAAAAATTAGCCAAGAGAAAAGTGTCTCACTTTTAAGCTTGAAGATAATAACATTTTAAAAAAAAGTTTTAGGATGAGTTTCTGTTTTCTTGGTATGTTAACCTTTAAAAACTCCACTCTAGCTATTAAATGTGCTTTAAATTAGTGCTGAGCTATTGCATTTTGTAGTGTTGAGTCTGGGACACCAAAGCTTTTCCTACATGTGATATTTCACAAAGCAAAAGCTGCTTGTGAGTTACTGAGTTTGTTGTTATTTTCATATACAGGAAAACTTTTTGTTATCCTACAGGTGTGGTGATGATTTTTAGTCATTTAATTGTTACACAGCAACCTTAAAATAATGCCATTTTACTGAATAAATAGGAGTTGTTTTGGTAAATAGAAAATGCTAGACCTGCCAATCTTATAAAGAACTTTTTAAAAGTTAGGCTGAGCTGCAAGCCCTGGTAGGAAGGAAATTCATGGCTAAAGTGTGATTAGGATCAGCTCCCAGAGCTGATTTGTGATTTGAAGTCTGTGTGTAGCAGTTCTGCTGCCATCTCTGTGCAGGAAGGTCTATGTGCAGATGTTGTCTGGTTACTGCAGTGTAAAATATTGCAAAATGGCCATTTAATGGTACAGGACTGGCTGAGACAAGAGGTGAATTGACTCTGTTCCAGTTAAAACACAAAAGTAAACAGAATAAAACTGGTCTAGTTAGAATGACCTTAAAGCTGTGAGATTATGGAAATTAATTTGGAGAAAAACTCTACATGTGCAAGTACATCAGTACTTTGTCATCTGAAAATAAGAGTTCTGTTGAAGTATTTGTTATATACAAAATAAACTGTAATTGTAACGTACTGACTCAAGCCCACCAGGCAATGAATTTAATCCCCTGCAAGTCGAGTGTGAAATCCAATAGGTTTGTCAACAAATACAAGAAATCCATGGCTAGGAAATAGATACAAACTGTGATTTAGGTGGAGATAACTGCTTAGAGGCTTATTTATTTTTTGGGAACTAAAGAAAGTCAGTCATAGAAATAGAGAAGGGGAGGCACAAGTAAACCTGTAAAGAATTAAGTAACCACTTTCCAGTCTCTCAAGGGGATAGGGGTTAAGAGATACAGCTTTAAAAGTCTTTATGTTGTTGAAAAGTTTATTTGTCTAATGTCTACTGAGACAGCGTGCCAACAACAGCAAACCCAGTGCAAGTCAGAAAGAGAAAACTCCTACTGCAAGAGAATATGAAGGCATAACAAAGCTGTTTAGAAATATTGCAGTGCAGCAGCTGGTTTTGCTAATGCTTCTTGGTTATTTAAAAAAAAAAATCATCTAAATCCTAACTCCCTTTGTCTTCTCACTCTGAGGAGCTGCAGTGTGTGAAGCTTGCTGGCCCATGACTCATTGTCCCCACTCATGCTATTTCTTTGAATAGCCCTTGTGAAAACATGCATTTTGGGTTAGTTGTCTTAGCTGGCAATCCAGGAGGGTTTTTTTTTCTCCCTGGGTGAGTGATTTATGTGTGCTAATCTCTGGATCTGCCTTTGCCACACATGGTGCCTATGAAAACACTGCTGGTGCTGTACCTGGGATTGCTGTGCTCACCTTTCTGCAAGAGTAACTCAGGCACTAAAACTCCTTTCATCTCTTCCTCCACAGGCAATAGTTTCATATCCAAGAAATTCTGATACCTTGGGCTTCTTTTCAGGGACAGGCAGTCATGAAACTGAGGCTGGATTTCATTTCTTACTAGATCTGAAAAGGGTAACAAGCAAAGAAGATGAAAATGCAAAATAAGATATTATTTCCAGCCCCTAAAAGAAACTTATTTGCATTTGGTACTTCTGCTTTCTGGATTTAATCTATATTTTAGTGTTTGGATCAAATTGTTGAATGCATTTAATATGCAATTTTATATGGTTTAATTTGTAGATCTGTGCCTGCAGATTATGTTTGGATTGCTCAACAAAGTAAAATCTTGATTATAGCCAAACACGTTGATAAAGTTCAAGGAGCAGACTGTGACTTTTCTTTTTGTACAGTGGAAATGAGTGATGCTTATGGGAGACTTGGGAAAAGGAAGTAATGCTGTTAAATATCATTTCAGTGAAGTTGAGGCATGAAGGTCACAAAGTTTTCTGCTAAGTGAGGTTAAATTCAAGCAAAGTTGGTCAGTGGTAACATCCCTTTAGGTAACAGCTGCTGGAGGATGCTGCAGTTTTCAGGACAATACTAGAGAAAAGTCAGTGTATTTGGAAAATCGCTAGGATTTAGGTTCTTCTTATTTCTTATCTTACTCTTTCTTATGAAATAGAAGAATGTAGCTTTCATTAAGAAGTTTCTAAATTGAAGAATAAATGTTTTGATGATTGTGTCCTCTGCATTCGAAAGCAAATGATATTCCCAGTTCTAGCACAAAGTCTGAAATCCTTCCTTCTGGTGAGATTTTATTTCTCATTCTTCAGTTTAAAAGCCAAGAAAAAGAGCTCGTGGCAGAGAAAACTGCCTATAGAATAGACTTGCTGTTTGGGATTGTTATTTTAATGTGAAGGGATGAGGTAATAGAGCACAGCAATAACCAGCAAGCTGCAATCTTTGACTCCAGCATCAACAGCTCCACAGGCCTGATCTTTATTGGACTTTTTTTTTAATTTGGGAGGAAGGGAGGGCTCTGGTTAGCATATCTGTTTCAGGAAGAGTATCAAGAGTTCTCTAATTTCATATTTAAATCTGGGAACTGATTAATACTTGAGGCATGCAGAGAGCTATAATATGAAGGCTGTTGTTACTATAGTGAGATGCTATTACAGACATCACAAGACTTTTTATACAAGGAAACATGATTACTTTGGATTAAAGGAGTTGCCAAAGGCTTGAAGGATTTATTGGTGCTGCTGCTTGGAGTTATATATAACTTCATTATTTTGTTGAAAACATTGAGATCTAGAATTAATGAAGCACAGTAAATGCTGCTGAAATGCATCAGCAGGTTTGACAGCTTTGAACTGACACTGAGCCACTGATGAATTTTATGGGAGCATTCTTTAGGCCTCCAGATCACTGGATAATGTACAGAAAGGAATAAACCCAGCTTTTGCACAGAGAAATGAAGCTTAATGAGTGCAGTGAGGTGCAGCAGAGTTGATGTGATCAAGATCATATTTCTGAAATGACTTGTAACTCCTGAGCTTGTGGGAGAGGAAATGGCCTGAGCTGCTGGAGATGGTCTGGATCTCTGGGATCAAACATTCTGGGAGCAGTGGGGATCTGCAGAGTGGGAGCAAGGCTGAGAGAACCCAAGGGTCATGTGGGTCTGGGCAAAGCAAGAGGAAATGGGGAATCATGGCTTTAGAAACAAAGGGCTGGAATTGGCTTTTTTTCCTGCAAGACTTGGTCATGGGTGGTGTCATTTCTAGAGGGGAAATGCAGATGTGAAAGAGCTCTGCAGTGTGCTGGGCTGCTGCAAGGGCTCTTTTCTGTGTGACCTAGGAGTTCAGTGCATCTCACATCCACTGCATCATTTCATTAATCTCAGCTGGATAAAACTGGCAGCATTTTGACATTGCTTCCCTAACCCAGCTCAGAGAGTGCTGGGAGATCCAGAAATGCTTTCTAGACAGCTGCATTCCTTCCTTTCTGTGCAGTCTGCAGTACTGCAGAGATGTTTCAAAAGGATTATTGCTTTAACAGATGATTAATTGCAAATTATTTATTGCTTTCTTAAAATTGGCTCAGCAGTCATCATTTGCTTTTGATACCACGCTGCAGAATTAGTGCTGTGGGAATTCATGTGAGTCTGAATGAGGAATGAGCCGTAATCAATGATGAAAGGTTTTTCAGTTTTGAAATAAGTCTTACAACATTAATCCCTTACAAGCAATACTATAAAGAGAAAATATGTAATGGCAGAAGTTGTTCTTCAGCTGCCTTTGACTCTCCCCTCTGTAATGTGACTCAGGAATTTAGTTATGTAAAAATATGACTAAGTCCCTTTTGCTTTGAGGTGCAGCCCTGGGTGAAATGCAGTATGAGATTGGATTTCAGTAAATTGGATAACTTCTTTCCCAGTCTTTTTAACTTTGAATTTGGGACAAAACTACATCAAAAGCTGGAACAGCTTCCTCATCTAACTGTTCCATGGCCGAGTGGGTTTTTTTTTTTTCTCTTCAGATAGTGTCTGATTACTAAATTAAGCTCTCAGCATCAATAAATCATTTCCCTGCAGAGTAAAACCTATAAATTTTCATACCTGTTGTCTTCTGTACTTTTTGAAATATCTCTCTGGGGGCTGTGGAGCAGCTCCCAGGGCAGGTTCAGCAGACAGAGAGCACAAAGGAATCCAGGTGCATGTTGTGCTTTGCTGGCGTGACAGGCTGGACACATTCCAGAGGATTTGCAGGAACTGGGTGAGCTCTGGGAGCACGTTGGGGTTATGGGGTTTACAGAGAAGCCAAATGAAAAACCAAGTGAGGTTTTTCAGGAGTCCCATACACTGTTTGGTGTGAGCCATGTGGGACTCACCAGGCCACTCCTATTCCCAGGAAACAGCTGGGGAAGCACAAAGAATCATTGCTGGTCCTGCAGGGGTTGTTCCTGGTCCTGTAGGGATCATTCCTGGTCCTGCAAAGATAATTCCTGGTCCTGCAGGAGCAAACCTCAGAGCCCAGCCCAGCCCAGCCTGGTGCTGGGATGTTTCTCAGCATTTGGAGGTAAATCAGAGTCTGCAGAGCCAGCTGTGTGGAAAGGCTGTCCTGGGCTGAAGTGTTGGCTTGCAGACCCCATTGGCCAAATGGCACTGGAATATTTTAATTTAGGATTTCTCATTTCATGCTATCAGAGGCATCACAGAATCAAAATCTTCTAAAGCAAAAATCTGTTTGTTATGGATGTCAAAGAGTTGGAGGGCAGAAGAAAAGAATGGAAATAATCTCTTGCCCAGATTATAAATTAGTGGCAATTAGAAAAAATCTGTTAGTCCACAAAACCCAACAGCTGGGATTTCTCCAGCCCTGCAAGCCCTCAGCTCATTTTTCTCTCTGTATCCCACCCAAAGGTATTTTTAAAGCTGAATGAAGACAGTTCTCATTCTTTATTGTGCTTATATTGACATAGTCACAGATGTTACTGCTATGCAAACCACTGGTATTATTTTTGCTCTTAAGTACTTTCCTGGTTTCCCTTTTGCTGTGACAATTTTGTCACTGTTGCTGGGAGCTGGAGCTATTTCATTCATGGGCCACAAATGTTTTCTGTTAAGCATTCAAAACCTCCCATCCTCCTATTGTACTCTCCCAGTTTACTATGAAGTGCTCCAGCCCCATCCAACAGAGTTTGGTTTAAACCTTCTTCCCTTCCTGTTATTTTTAACATTTTCTCAGTTTTGCTTTAGGTCTCCAAAATGTATCAGTGCTGTGAATTTAGTGATGAAATTTTCCTGTCTCATTCACTCACTCCAATCCCATTTCTTGCCTGCTTTGGATTTCCCTGCATCCCAACACTTCTGCTCCCATGTTCTCTGTGCTCCATAATTTCTGTTTGGTTCACACCTGCTTGCATTGGCTTTGAATGTCTCCTTTGCATCCTCTGGATGTTGGATTTTAAACAGAAATGTTCATCTTGTCATCTTCCAGATTTGCAGACTTACTCCAAGTTATTTCATGGTAAACTCTCGGAATCAACACTTGCAGTTTCCTGTTATTTCTGTATTCTTTTGTTCTAATGGTATTTGTAAGCTGATTTAGGAATGCTTCTCAAATTCTATAAATTTCAATAATGGACTTGGGTTTTTAGCAGAGTGTTATAAAAAATGCTGCTCATTACTGCCCCTTCCTTGCACTTTTCCTGAGCCTTGTCATGTTAAAAAAAAACCCTCATAATTTTTCTTCAGTCTTTCTGCTCTTTCACAATAATCTGGTTGAGTAATGCAGCATTTATTCAATTTATGCTTGCAAACACTTCCATTTTAAACAGCTACTGGACAAATGAATTACATCAGTAATACTGTAGTGTTGTTCACTGATTTATACTTAATTTTTATACTTTTGTTTGTTTGTTTGCATTTAAATATTTAAATTTATTTTGTACAAAGGCTGGATTGAAGGTTAGGCTCAGGTCCTGTGTTTTATTCTGTTTGTTCCTTTAGTGAGGTGACTGCCTTGTCCAGCATTTATTCTATTCTCCCCATAAAGTCAGTTTAATATTCTGGTTGATTTTCCATTCTTCTTGTACAAACATGCACCTTCTGATATTTGCATCCCTGTTGAGCAATTAGAAATTGTCAGTACCTGTTTTTCCTGCCTGTTGAGTATCAGGTGTAATTTAGCAGGCATTTTTGGGACATATTCCTTCAGCCCATTGCCCCTTGTCAGCAGCCTCCCTCAGCCCTGTGTGCCTGGGGAATTATTCCAATCCACAGCTCTTGCCAAGGCCTGTTACCTCCACATTGACAATTAAACATCAAAAGTTACACTTAAGCCCTAACATTTATATTTAAAAAATGCTTTTTTAAATCTTGTTTTTCCTCTATCTTCTTCATGCCTGTACCTAATGTAATTTCTTGGACATTCAAGGCTGTCCACAGGATACTGATGGCCTCAGATACTTTTTTTTTTTTTAATGCTGTATTTCCATTGCTAAAATGAGATGTGTGCCCCCATTCAGACAAGACTGAGTCCATCTGTTTCTGCCCCTATTTTTTCTGTCAGGATTTTTCATTTTTTCTTCTGAACTTTTCACTAGAGGCTTTGCTGTTATTTCACCCCAATTCCACGGGAAGAGTGGAGCACACAGCAAAGCTGGGCTGAATCTCTTGTATTCCAGTTTTTGTAGCAAAACTGCTGCGGGCCCTTGGGTTTTGTGTGTTTTTATTACAAACCAGAGCATGCTGAGATCACCAACAGTTCCCAAATTTGTTTTCACCCCCCTGACACAAACAAAAAGGAGAAGGAGCCCCTTCTATTCCCATTTTTTTGTCCAGCTCAGGTCTCTCCATAGCTTTATATTGAGCAGCAAAGGCAGGGAAGTGAAAATCATAGAGTTTGTCATCCTTGTTCTCACCATCAACTCCAGCATATTGAAAGTCTCATTTTTATCCCTGGCAACTGAGTAACTCTTCACAGAGAAATACTGGAAGTTCTTGGAATTACAAACATATCAGGCCATGAGCCAAGCTTTCCCTGGCTAGGCAGTGGCAAAAGCTGCCAGTGGATCTGAGTTTTATGTGGGTTTTTTTTTTTCTACTCTTCTCTCTGAGATCATCAAAACTTATTGCAGCAAGGATTCGATATTGGATTTGAATCGTTGTTCTGGAGTTTAAATGGGAATTCTCACTTATGGAGCAGCCATCAGATCCTAGTTGAAGTTGTTCATCTGGAAATTTTAAATTAAGTTTTATCCCAGTACATTAGTAATTTTAGCAGAATGTTCTAATCCAAAATGAAAATCAGATGTTCTTCATGGAAATAGGGAAGTCCAGACAATGGGTATTGTGTTTAGGTTGCAAGACTTGTGGTCTTCCTTTCTTTTAATTTTATTTTTGTTGTTTACATTGCAGACAAGTCTTTGTTCATTCTAAGGAATAAGGCTATTAGTTTAAATGCACTATTTTTTTAACATTTGTATCCAAAAATATTTCTCTTGAGCTGTATAAAAAATTGGATTTTCTGGAAATTCATTGCCCTCATGAATGGACTCCTGGTGAGAGAGGAATTTTTATGACTCCCTTAAAAAAACAATTGCAGGCATTCCACAAATAAACAATACATGGATTTGGGGGTGCATTTTAATGGCTATTTTATAATTATTTGTTCTCCAGTGTTTATTTCCGTATGGTATGTTGCAATTTTTAACTGAGTTATCCTAAGAATTCCCTTGTACAGCAGAGAGCAGAGCTTTGGAGCAGGAGCCAGTTCCCAAGTGCAGACCCAGTCCCGCCTCTGGTACTTCACTGATTTCCATGAGTCCTGCAGGAGGAGCTGGGATAGTTCAGGCCAGCTGCTTTCAACTTCTTTTTGCATCTTGTTTTGGCAGTTCTGATCTCTTTCCCTCAACTAGATCTTCCTCCCGTGTCTCTCGTTAATAAATTTCACGTGTGATTTTTCTTTTGTTTGATTTTTCTCCTTTCAGGGCTGTTCTTGCTGAATAGTTGCCCACAGCCCCAGCTCCACTGGATTTGCCTTTTTCCTGTGTGTAAACGCTTGTGAGTGGCAGTTCTGATTTTCCTGGCACAGGAACCAGTGCCCGGTTCGTGTCCACAGCAGCACAAACCCTGACATTGCACAAGAGGCTCGTTGGAAAAATTGGGATAAGGGGAACTGAACAATCCTGGGTTGCTCCTTGTCCCACAGGGAGCAGCAGTTCCATCCCTGTTGCTTTTGGACAGGATTTACTTTTCACTGCTCCATCTGCAGATAATCCAGGAGGTGCTGGTGCCACCAGCAGCACAGTTTGTGATTCAGCTCATGCTCAGTTGCTGCAGGATTTTTTCTGATTTTGAGTCATGTCAATAATATGTTGTTCACTCTGAGAGAGCTCAGAGTGAAAATGATAATATTTAGAAAATGAAATTTGTTGTACAGCCAGGATGAACCAGGGGTTTCAGATGTTTGGGTCTTACTTCCTTTTTGTCAACCCTCTGTGCGTGTCACATTCTCAACAAATTTCCTCAACTTCTGTAATCTATGAGGTAGAAAAGTTGCTGGTTTTTACAGAAAAAAGCAGATTAAGTGGCAGTTCTTGTGCTTGCAGCAGCCCTTGGTGTGTGTTTGGGAGCAGAGAGAACTGAAGTGTGTGCACATAAATAATAGAAAATATAAATATGGACAGCAGTGCCATCAGTGATCAAATCTTATCACTCCTTCCTCATGGAGGCAGCCTGGCAGCCTTGCAAAGCTTGCTGCTGTCAGAAAATCATGAAACAGAAAAAAATACAAATCAAAGATGCTGAGATCTCCTTTCAGCACTGCAGGAGCAGAAAGTGGCTGTGTCAGAAAGCAGAACACTTCTCACTTCTCCAGAGCATCGGCGAGCAGAGCTGCCAGGGCTGCTCCGGGAGGGAGCAGGATGCTGGGGAGCAACAAAGTTCCCTGGGACTCAACAGAGTCCCTTATTTTTCTGTCTGAATCAGCATTTCTGACTGTGACAGAGTGATTTATGAGTTCAGCAAACTGATTGATTTATGGCCTCAGCAAACTGATCAAAAAAATGGATGTAAACATCAGAGCAAGGAGAAGTAGGTGTCCAAAATGGGCTTGTCTTGGGTGTTTTTGTGCACGATCAAACTTGGCAGGACTCTCTGATTTTTAATTTATTGATTAATTTCACAGAGGTTTTATTTCATCAACATAAAAACTCTTTGCAAAAGAAAAATGTTTTTCTTGTAGGGGAGCTGAGCAATCAGCTTCTTTGTGTACCTCTCCATGCTGGGGTTTCTACAAAACCCCCAGCAGCAGAAAGAGGCATTGAAAAGCAGAGCCTCTTGCTGCTTTATTGCTCTGCTAAAAGTTTGGTATTTGTACTTTTTAAGAGCAATTGGAGAGATTCAGTTTTAGTCAGCTGTATCTTAAAGCTGCAAATCTGAAATAACTTGTCATTTATTTTGCGAATTCCTTGAAAATTTTATTATTCAACTGTCCCAGCAGTTCTGCCTGAAGAGATTTCTTGCTGTTTTCTTTTATGATAGAAAATCTAGTGGGTAAAGTGAATTATCACAGAGAAAGCAGTGCTGATCACTTCCAAGAGAATTAAAGCAGAGGGGAGCAAACTTGGGTGAAACTTGGGTGTTATTTATTAATTAACAACAAAATACTGAAACTAAAGATCTTTTCAAATTTCAGTTCCAGCTACTTCAGTTTTACTCAGCTGTATCTTAAAGCTGAAAATCTGAATTTGTCATTTATTTTGTGAACACCTAATTTTATTTTTTAACTTTTAACTCTAATTACATTTAACTTTAATTTTAATTAAATTAATTCATTTAATTAAACTTCTAACTTTAATTTTTTGTTATTATTATTATTATTTAACTGTCCCAACAGTTCTGCCTGCAGAGGTTTCTTGCTGCTTTCTTTTATGATAGAAAAGCTAGTGGGTAAAGTGAATTACCACAGAGAAAGCAACATCTTCACATTGTATTTCCCTCTGAGTTCTTCCCAATACAAAACGAACGGGCAGCCTCTGTTTGAAATAATTAGTCGTGGTTTACTGGGGGAATTTTGGGACTTTCATGTTGCACTAGCTTTTGATGAAAATTTCCCTGCACTGCCTTATTTAATTCTGGCCATCTGGATTAAAAGGCTCTCTTAATCTTAAATACAGATTGTAACTCTTTCTTTTGGAGTGTGCTGCCATAAAATTCAGGCAGCTTTCCAGCTTTCTTCATTAAAGCTTTCTTTATTATGGTTTGTCGGCCATTAAATGATTGTTATGCACAATGGGCACTTGATTATAATTTGCTGGAGCTGGGAATCAGTTGCAGCAGTAATTCAGTTCTGTAATTAAAAGCAAGCATGTTTATACCTGCTAGCATCTCCTGTGAGCTGCTGAGGGTGAGGAGAAAACAGACTTGAAAGGCAACAATTTCTGCTAATAAGATGTTGAAGGGCTCTAAATCTGCCAGTGTTTTGTGCTGTGCTGTGGAATTGGGATTTTTTTCCCATAATAACTGGGTTTTGAACCAAAATCTGTACTTTGTGACAGGGATAAAAGGGCAGTTTGATTTGTCATAAATCTCCTCAGATCTTTGATTTTTTTTTTGTTTTGTTTGAGGTTAGAAAGAAATGTGAATTTCTTGCAGAAAAAGAGCAATTGGGGGATCCTCAAATCCTTTCTGATTTTTGTTCTGCTCTTGTGGGTTTTTTATCAGGGAGCTCAATCTCACTTAAGTGTTTTTTCACCTGTAAAGTTTTAAAAAAATGTGAGAAAATTGCTCGCCGTAAAAGTATTTTAAAAGGGAGTTTTTCAAGGGTGTTTGTGCCATTTACTTTTATATTTTGGCTGTTGGGAAGTTGAAAGAAATAAATGTAAGTTTGTCCAAGCTGCACATTGAACTCTTACGGGCAAGTGTGGCATAGCTGATGGTGTCATTTAATCTGATTTTAGCAGTATTTTATGGATAAACTAACATAGATACATGATCATTTAATCAATATTATAAAATATTTCTTTATAAAATTGAAGTTATGTAGCAGCTTTGTATTTTTTTTTTCCTGAGCTTGTGTCTCCTAAAATTCCATCTTTGAGATACCTTCTAGTAAATCTGCACCTGGAAAACTTTCCTGCTAGCTGAATTTGTGCACATTTGGTGAGATGAAGCTGCTAAATGAAATAATTTCATTTTCAATTTTACAAGCATCTGTTTGGCTGGAAATAATTTTCTGTCCCAGCTGTGAACTCGAGAGATGCAAACGTTGTGAATGTTGTGTGTGCAACAAATTCCTGCCTGCACTTCAGTGTTGGTCTGCAAGAACTGTGCATACAGGAGGTCAAAAATTTGCTTTTTAACATCTCTCAAATTGATCTCAAATTGGAGCTCTCAAATTAGCAATCAAAACATTTGTAATGGGCTAAAATAGAGAATAATGTGGGTTTGCAAGGTAGTGCAAAAATCAAGGAAAGCTGCAGAATTTAAGTGCTCTCTCCCACAATTCTAATCAGAATTCTAACAACAACAATTCTAATCAATAACACCAGTTCTAATCAGAATTGTTGATGATTTAATCAAGTGTTTTCAGTCTTGTTAAACAAGTGAGGAACGCAGACTGGAATAAAACCAGTTTATAATTCTGCCTTTCCTCAGGAGGGGACATTCTGATGGACACACAGTTGAGATGTTCAGGTCTTCTGAGGAAAATCTTAATAACTTGGAAATTCAAAGTTACATGGAAAATCCTTTCTTTTGCTTTTTATGAGGGTTTTTTTGGTTTTTTTTTTTTTTTGTTGTTTTTTTTGATACCTTTGCTGATTTTGGAAAAAGTAGAAGGCTTTTCTTGTGAATCTAATTTCTCCATGGCAAGCCCTTGCAGTGCCTTTGCCAAGAGTTTATTTCACATGTGTTCAGTCCAGTTTTCTTTTCACATATGTGAAATAACATCTTGGCAAGTGGTAAACAAAATATATACAGCAAAGAGAGAGAGAGAGAGACCTGTGGTTTTTATTGAAGTGAAAAGATATATTTTATGAAATAATCCTTTCATTGAAGTGAGTAATTAAAGCTAGAATAAATAAGATCTTATGAGAGATTGCATGGTAATTATGTAACTTTTAAGAAAAAAGAGTTGATGGTAATGAAGTCTTTTCACTTGACTGGGTTTTTCTTGGAAAAGGGCAGGATCATGTGATGATGTAGCACAGTGTGTGAGAGCAGTTTGCTGCTGCAAATCCAAACATCCCAAAGTGATTTCCAGAGCCCAGATGTTTATCAGTTTCTCTTCTGGAAGGGAGCAGCAAGGTTTTTATTCCAGGTTTTCAGTGCATAACTCCTCCTTTGTCCAGGGAGACTGGGCACTTGTGCTGGGCTACAGAGAATTTATGGATGAGGAGAGAAAATTACTCCTGTGAGAGAAATTTTCCCTTCTCCCTGAGAATTGTGAGAAAAATTAGCCCAAGCAATCCCTGGGTCAGGAAAAAATAACAAATAAATAAATAAAATATTAAATCAATATATATAAAATATAGCATATTATACCTACTAGCATCTCCTGAGAGCTGCTGAGGATGAGGAGAAAACAGAGTTAAAGGCAACAATTTCTGCTAATAAGATTTTCCTGTTGTATTGAATCAATTCAGGAGTGTCCCCAGAGCATTGATCTGACCCCCTGAGATATTCTGAGGTGATTTTTTTTATTATTGGCTCAATTTATCAGAGCATGGTACTAAAGCCACCAAATTTCTGGGTTTGATCCCTGTGTGGGCATTCATTTAAGGGGTGGATTTATATTATTAAAACTAAAAATACACTTAAGATATTTTTGTCACATATCTACTTGTCTGCTTTCACAGCATAACTAAGATTAATGAAGTTGATTTAAATATCTAATCCTACCAGATAACATGATATTTTCACAGGAGAAGGGAAAACCTAGAAAGCAAGCAAAACCTAGTTAAATAATTAAAAAAAAAAAAATGTTGATCTTTATTTTCTGTATGATTGTTCCACTTCCAAACAGAAAACTAATGACGTTAAAATACATATTGTGAGTTGGGGATACATTCTTTTACCATTTATTTCTATAACCAGCAAAAGAGAGATATTTTTCCAGCCACTTTGTATTTCAGCCTTGCAGTGTTCTCTGTGCTTGGCTGGAGGTGCAGCTGTGCTTGATTTGACATGGGCAGTTACAGTCTGACAACAACACAACAAAAATTCACGGTGAATTAAATGAATTAAATTCTATTTGGCGTCCTTTTAGCTCTGAAATGTATATGGCAATCCAGAATTGTAGCAAATAAGAAGAATGTTTTTATAGCTTTTATAGGAACCTGGTGCTAATCAAATATGTTAAAAGTACTCCTGTGCAAATACTGCGAGATTTTGGAGGGTCTGTGCACAGAACCTGTACCATGAGCCCTTTTATGAAAGGATTTTGTTTCAAAAATCAGTATCAATGAGCTGCTGAGGGCTGTGGCTCTCAAAAAATGCTCCTTCAAGCTTTCCTGTTGTGGTTATTGAGAATAAAATCAGGGTCTTTTCGTGATCATAACTCTTAATATGTTTTGGCATATATTTTTTTTTTAATTTTAAAGCAGATTTTGCTTGTTTTCTAGATTTCCCCTTCTCCTGTGAAATTATCATGTTATCTGGTAGGATTAAGGATTTAAATCAACTTCATTAATCTTAGTTATTTTGTGAAAACAGACAAGTAGATATGTGATTAAAATGTCTTAAGTGTATTTTTAGTTGCAATAATATAAATCCAACTCTAAATAGAATTTATTCCTGCAGTTCTTTCCAAAGTGCAGGCAGATCCTGTTGTTTGTATTTAAGGTAGGTATCTGTAGTAACAATCAAATGCTGAAAAATTATAATTTGAAGATATTTAGTGGTATTTCTCTCTAATGTCATAAGGTGCAGTAACTTTACAGCCACTGTCCCGTTGCAAGGGCAATTGTTGTAATAATATAAATCTAAATTTTTAATTGTAATAATATAAATCCAACTCTAAATAGAATTTATTCCTGCAGTTCTTTCCAAAGTGCAGGCAGATCCTGTTGTTTGTATTTAAGGTAGGTATCTGTAGCAACAATCAAATGCTGAGAAATTATAATTTCAAGCTATTTATTGGTCTCTCTAATGTCACAAGGTGCAGTAATTTTGCAGCCACAGCCCCATTGCAAGGGCTGTGCTTTGAACAATTTCAAACCATTTCCATATTTACAGAGAACTTTACAACATGCAGCTCTGTTTGATTTGTTCTGTGGAAGGGAATTAGAGGAGATAACATCTGAAGTCTTTATGTGATGCTTGCAGTACAGTTGTGTCTTTTTGAAGGATTAATTTGAGAAGTGGAGCCTCTGGGGGATTTCTCAATATCTATCAGAATTTTCACACGCAGGCGTCTTGAACTCCTTGAAGTTACTCAATTCCAGTCAATAACTTCAGGTTATAAATTAGTTCCTAATTAGCATGATGGAGTTTTGACAGAAATTAATGAAGCCTTGAGAGCTCTTGCCTGTGTAGCAGACTTTTCCCAGCTGTCCTCCAGAACTTCTCTAGGGAAAATCAGAGAAATTCAGACTTAGCCAGAGTGCTGGTATGACAAAATGTGATTCCCAGTTGCATTGTATCACACTTTAGCTCAGTTCTCCTGTCTGGAGTGTCCATGGTTTCACATCTCTCCAAGGAGGAAGACATAAGAAAAAAATTGTAATTTCAGCAACTAGGACGCCAGTATTCCAACTTCTCATTCAGTTCACTGAGAAATGCTTTTCTTTAGGGAAATCTGGCACATTTTTCTGCCTAGGAGAGAAAATAAGCCACTTTAGCAGTGAAGATGTAGGTGACAAATTCACTTTGGTATTATCTTGGTTGTGCTTGGTTGCTACAGAAAGGATTTGAAAAGTCAAAATATAAAAACTCTGCTGGAAGTGGCTGAAATCTATTTTTCTCCATTCAACAGTCAAATGTATTAAAATTCCCATGCATTAAAATACTCATCTTCAAGATATTTTGGGTGTTTTATGGGATAAAAATAACACTAATTGCAGATTTGGACCTCTTGTATGCACTCAGCTCCTGAGCTGTGCTACCAGTGACATTCCTGCTGCTGTTATTGCAGGGGAGGTTTTGTTGTTAATTCTGCAGCCAAACTGCTGGAGTTTCATGTCTGTGGAGCCTCATATCACAATTTAAATAGAGCATTGTAGAAATGTCAGGCAAATACCCCAAACCTGAGAGCTGGAGCTTGGCCGGCCCTCTGCACGGGGGGTTCAGCGTTTGGGGTGCTGAGCTTGGTATTCAGCAAATATTTGGGTAAGAGCAGCAGAGGAGGGGTTTGGCTGATCATTTCCAGCTCCTGCACACAGCAGGAGCCCTCTCCTGTTCCCAGGGAGAGTCACAGGAAAGCAAATTGACCCAGCAAGGGCTGCACAGTGAGGCAGCGCTGGCACGGCAGGGCAGCAAATGGCAGGGCAGGGCTGGAATCCCAGATCCGTCTGCCTGCTGTTCCTCTGCCCTCCTCTTCCTCCTCCTCCTCTGGCAGCTCCATCTTCCTGGTGTTCCTCAGGAGTACATGAGCAGTAAATCTGCCCTCCTCTTCCTTCCTTTTCTTCCTCCTCTTCCTCCTCCTCTTGCAGCTCCATCTGCCTGGTGTTCTTCAGAAGCATGTGAGCAGTAAATCTGTCCCATTCTTCCTTCTCCTCCTCCTCCTCCTCCTTCTCTTCCTTCTCTTCCTTCTCTTCCTTCTCTTCCTTCTCTTCCTTCTCTTCCTTCTCTTCCTTCTCTTCCTTCTCTTCCTTCTCCTCCTCCTCTTTTCCTCCTCCTCCCCTTGCAGATACATCTGCCTGGTGTTCCTCAGAAGCACATAAACAGTAAATCTTCCTTCTTCCTCCTCCTCCTCCTCCTCCTCCTCCTCCTCCTCCTCCTCCTCCTCCTCCTCCTCCTCCTCCTCCTCCTCTTTCTTCCTCCTCCTCCTCCTCCTCTTCCTCCTCTTCCTCCTCTTCCTCCTCTTCTTCCTCTTCCTCCTCTTCCCCCCTTGCTCATCCCCAGCCTGGTTGGAGGGTCCTGGTGCAATTCTAAGCTGCCAGGACCTGATCCAGGCTTATTCTGCTCTGTTCTGGCTTTTTAGTTCATTTTCCAGCTACCTGGGAATCAGAACTGGAGCTGTGGCACTGTGGGCCTTGGAATGTGGGATAGAGATGGAATTCTTGGTTTTATTTTGTGGAGATACATCTCTGGCTCTGGGTTATGTAAGATGTTGACCAAAATTTAGTGTATTAAAATACATTTGCACATGGAAACTCAAACTTCTATTGTGTGTGGTGGTTTGAAATTTAGCAGGGAAAAGGTTCTCTGAAAAGTGCTGGATTTTGGAAATATTTCTGCTGTCATGCTGTCCTTGTTTTAGGTGTCCTAAATAGAAAAATATATAACAGTCAGGAAGTTGTTCTTTATTGTGTCCAAGTTGTCTTTTGGGGGATTTCAATATTTAAGTGAGGGGGATATTTTAATATTTAAAGGGAAAAAAAATCAAATGTCATTTGACTGTAAAAATACTCTTTTTCCTTTTCTTCCAGGAGGAAAATAATCCTAAATTGAGAGGTGTCTTTAGCTTGTTTGGACTTGTTAGTCTTAACTAAATAAAACAACCTCTAAACTGTTTGTTTTGACTGAATTTTTCCTGGTAGTTAAAAAAGTAAGGTTACACCTGTCCATTGTTTCCTTTACTCCAGGGTTTGTTATGATATTACTTAGAGGGAAGTCATGTCCTTGAATTGGTGTTGAAACCTGGTTTCTGACTGAGGTTAAACTTAAAGAAAAGGGGCAATTTACAGGGCAGGCTTCATTTGTGTGAGGCTGAACAAAAGTCATTCTGCTGTCGTGAATAAAAAACCTTTAGTCATAAATATTTGCCATTTTACAAAGCAGAAGTTTAGAGTTTTGTTCACAGGAGTGTGTTGGGATTTTGATTTTAAATTTCCCGTGCAAGCAGAGGGGTCTTCATTCTGAGGGAACTTCATAGGCTCCTGAGGAATGGGTTTGGGTTTAAGAGTTATTTCATTCCACACTTTCATACTTTTATCTAACTTAAATTATTTTTAATAATCCCGTAATTAAGGCACTGCATTGGGGAAGCAAAAAGGTGAAGAAAGTGACATTATCCCAGGGGAGAAATTTTCCATGGGATGAGTTTCCCGTACAATAAATTACCTCCAGGTGTTCCTAACTTTATTTTTTTGTATAATTCTATGCAAAACTCTAATAATTCTTGACATAATGAAAGATTTAAAGATAAGTTAAGTATAAATATGGAGAATATGTGCTGAACTTTGTGCCTATAATGGAGACATCAAGATGAGGAAATGATATTTTTAGAAATCTTGGAGCTTTCAAAAGACTGTAGAAACTGAAATTCTGGAGAATCAATGCATGTTAATAATCCAGAAAGAAAAATGCAAAATTACAAGGAATGCTTGTGGCCAATCTTTTAAA